TCCGAACTGGGATATAAATGTTGTAGGAGAAAAACAAATTGTGCAACATTAGAGACCCGTACACGAAACAAGCCCAAATTGAGCAAAGTAGTTAAATAGACGATCCAGTCTGCCGGATTTCCAGACCTGAACAAATCAAATGGACTGTAAGCGTGTTGGCTAAGTGTGAAGCGATGGGTAACTTCTCATTTTAGTTTGAGTGAAAATTGTGTTCGTCTCTTACTTGCTTTACTTTAATACGACTGGCTCCTTGGAAAGGATAAACCGGTTATATGAATGTCTCTGATTGCCGCCGTATTGTTGTTCAAGAGGGTTTAAGCTGCTCCATCAATTGTGCTAAGGCTTCGTCCGCTGCTATGAAGAATGTCGGCTTNNNNTCCTAAGATGCTTCACAAAGGATGGCCACCAAGATGGTCAAAGGATTGCATTGCCTCACCCATGAGGAGAGATTACGATCACTGGGCTTATATTCTGCTCAGTACCGCCGAACTCGGGGAGACTTGATTTCGACGTATCAAATACTGCTGAACCCAAACCATCCGTTATCGAACAATGTACATCTAAGGAGACACCGTTTCAAGCTACTGATTCCAAAGTGTCGACCGGAATGCCGGCGTCAGTGTTTTGCAGTCAGAGTATGCAGTTCTTGGAACACCCTTCCATCTCATGTCGTTTGTGCATTCACTATTGAATATTTCAAGCAGAGACCCGATGAAACCTTGGCACACTTCACATTCGTACACCACTAAAAGCAAACGCAAATTCACTGTACCCAACATTCTCTATTATCTCCTACCCGGAACTCTATGTGATTCCTTTCTCGACGTGTAACGATTCATCTGTGTAAATATCCTATGGGGATAAGCGCAGCACGAGCTTGTAAGTAATTACCATAATAAAACTTTGACTTTGATCATGAAATTACTTGGGATTTTGTTAAGACAGACGTTCCCAGCGTTGCTCGGCGTTTTTTTATTTTGAGGGCACACCTCTAGCTTTTGCACAACCAAGCTCGAACTGCAAGGTAGCAGGAAGTAATTCCTCACCTCGGAAGTGAGGGGGTCAATGACTTTAATTTTAACAGACCAGTCACATCGACCTTTATCACAACCGCGTCATTGGGCTTATGCGGCTTTTATAAACAGAGGCCAGGTGACAAGCCTGAAACCCAACACATCCTGGTAGTGCCGCCGTTGTTTCCTCGCGATTGCTTATCTGTTGCGGGAGGCCACAACTTATTCACAGCTAACCTTCTTCTGTGAAGGTATCCCCCTATCCAAAACCCAGGGGATACGCCTGGTTGCATTCAGCCCTGATGAACCCGATGGCGTCTGTACATCCCTTCACTTGCAGGTTATCAGTAAACCTCCTGCCTGTTGACGGTTCCAGCCGTGCATAGACTCGGTCCACATTTTGACTATCTCGCGCATTCGTTCCCGTTCTTGCCTGTTCTCACTGTATAACCCCCCCCCCCCTAATTATTATAGTTCTAGGCAGGGCCTCACCTGTTCCAACAGAACTACAACAACGGACCTAAAAAAGCTAGATTGATCGTTTTCCTTTTCAACGATGCACATATACGCATATGAACTTAGGATTCTGTTCTCTTGTTGATTTTAAAGACTACATGGGGTATCAGGATACGGAGATGGAAGCACATCAATTCCAAGTGGAAACAGGCTTGATACGGACGCAGAACTGTCTTATGTGGTCGCATCACAGCAATATTATCGAATGCAGGATCTTCATGCACCACGTATTGTCACAACATCCTGAACGAAATGTTTCCCCGGAATGCCAGCATGACCCGGAAGCCAATTTTTTCTTTCTAAACCTGAGATACACAATACACAGATGGTTCTACTGAATCACTCTCTATCCAATGTGACGAAGTTAGATATATTCGTTTGCTATCAAACCTGGGCCCAGCTGAAATGTACGGAATACAAATTACATCCACACAGCAGTTTCAGTTCAGTTGGCTGTTTGTAGAGCCAATAACCCGGCACCTTCGTGCACCGGATTTGGTTACTGTTTCTTTTGGCCACCCATTCGGATGGAGTAGTAAGGGAAAGACAGGAAGGTTGAAAGTAGAGTCGAATGAAAAATGGAGAATTTCAGTGGTCTAGGGTTGCAGAGACATTGAGAAGATATACGAAGGCCACTGTTTACGACTCCTAGCCATGTCTCTAACCACCGATTATGATCATCCCGAGATCCCCATCCAGGGAGCCTAACGGGACCTATGTGACCAAGACACCCAGTTAGGGTTGTCATACCTTCGGACCAGGTCTTACGTTGACCATCCTTGGCTTTTTTCCATCCACTACCTGCATCGGCGAACATCGCTTGCTCCTTTGGGGCATCCTCTGTGATACGCATGAGGCCGGCTTATCCTCTCCCAGGAGACCGTAAAGTAAAGTAAGTAAGTAAATTCCGACGTGTCATGGTGTTTGGGCACCACGATACGAAGACAAAAGAACATGTTGACTGGCAATAACCGGTTAAGCAGTCCACTGGAAAATTTAACAAACGATTGATGAAAACGAACGCACGGAAAATCGTAAGCAAGATTCAGCTATGATCCGACAACAGCAAACGCAGGTGCGTAATCTCAAAGCTGGATAACGAACTTCAATATAGGAGTACAGCCATCGTCAGTTTATCAACGTCCTGGTCAGTGGTATTCTGTCCGGCCTAACTCGCGGAAAATGCGGTGCTTAATTGGTGGACCCTTTTGAAAGATGTTATGCATGACCATCTGTGTACGTGTCGGTTGAGTAAACTGGTAACTTATTTCCGTTGTGCTATCCCTTCAATAAAACCTCAAATCTCCTCAGTCTCAATTGAACCGCACCTATGACTTCTTTTGGCCTGGCATTAAGATCTAACCACGACTGCCTCTGCGATCTTGCACAAATTGCTCTTTAGACGACGAAATTTACCACAGAACCCAGTCAAATCCTCTATCACGATCGTATAACAAGTATTCCCGTTTGAAATGCTTCCAACCGAGTCATAACCTCCCCCCTCCGAGAGGCTGGTGATGAGATGGCCGAAGTGTGATGCCCAAAACAAGATTACAAAGGAAAATGTAAAACGGTCTGATCAGCAGCAAATCGCTGGCCGAATCGGTAGTATGCTTGCGTTCTGCCCGTGAGGTTCCAGAGGCGATGCCCAGTTGGATCAACGGATTCACACTGCGGAAACAATTGTCCGGTGCTGCCCAGCCTTTTAGTTCACACTTCACTTACACTTCTCTAAATGACAAAACTCACCACATAACCGCTGTGATTATTAATTTTATTATTACTTTTTGCTTGGAATTAAACGCACACACCAA